AATATACATTTAGTTCTTTAATTTTATATAACATTTCATTGAGTTCCTTTACTTTATAAAGTATCTTTTTAGTCTTTTAACCTAAATATTCCAACAAATTTTTATATTAAACTTTCAAATATTAACAAAACATTCTCAAATGTTGACATATTAAATTTAATTTTTTTCAAAATAAAAATGAATGGCACAATAATAATCATTTGAAATTAGCAATGTTAGGGTTAAAAGGACTAAAAGATGTTTTACAAAATTAAAGAACTAAATTAAAATTTTATATAAAGTTAGAGAACTGAAAGTAGACTTTAGGTTTTTTTTTTTTTTTTGCCATCCGTTAATAACATGGTTGAAAATTAGGTATCACTCTGTAGTGCTCTTAGGATAAGATTAATATCGAGTCATAATTAATTTGTACTCTCCCCTATTCTATTTAAAAGGTGGAGAGCAAATAATTTTTTGTCCTATTTATTAAGTATATTATCATTGACTTTTTATGGCAAGTTTTTCCACTTACTCCTTCTGTCCCTATATATAAGAAGTTTCCTAAAACATCTTTTGTTCCTAAATATAAAAGGTTGTTGGTATATTTTTTAATCAATGGACCATTATATCTTTATTAAATTAAAAAGAGAAAAATATAAGTAATCTCATTGATTTACTTTGAAAAAAGAGATTCATTTTTTATTTTTAATAATTAGGGGAAAAATTGAAAAGTTGCTATGCTTCTAATTAGATAGCTAACTTTTATTGGTTTACATGATTTGATTAAAAATATCTTATATATAAGGACAGAGGGAGTATCTCTTATTGAATATTAGTGAGGGAAAATATATTATTAAAGTATGTACTCCATCTTGACCACAACATATGACATTTCTTTTAAAACCCTTGCTTGATCCAAAATATGATGTATTAAATAGTTTTTATAATTGTTTTTTTTCAACTATACTCCTACTTTCTTTATTACTCCTTTTTTTGTTTTTTTAAAAAAAGGATGTATTGATATTTCAATTGTTATTGTTACGGAACTCATATATAATTTAATGAAGGTTTAATGGGAAAGATGTACTTTTCAAAATATTTTACCTAACTTTTTTTGAGAACTAGTTACAAATGCATATATTATGATCCAAAGGGAGTATGTATATTTAATAGTGAAAAAATTGAAAAGTTATTAAATTTTTATACAGAGTTAATGAGTTTAAATATTTTTTTATTTTTCATAAAATATGTTAAAAGTAACTAATAAATATAACTAGATAAAGTATGTTATACTCTCTCTGCCCAAAATTATAAGATATTTTTAGATAAAATCACGTATATCAATAAAGCTCATCAAAGTATTTTAAAACCTTAATTTTTAAGACAAAAATGTAAAATTTTAAGAATACTCTCCATTTAATACTTTATTTGAAAAAAAAATATTAAAGAGAAGAATATATAAGAAGGACAATATTAAAAAGATATCATTAATAATAACTTATTTTTGTTAAAGTATCTTATATTTTAGGATGTTATATCCCCCCAAAAGTGTCTAGTATCCACACTCCCCCAAAATGGGTAAACTCTATTGGTACGCACTAGCACCAAAATACCCTTCGATCCTTATTATAAGACATTTTTTAGAATAATTCTTTGATCCTTAATAGTATAAGACACTTAATAGGTAATAATTTTGTTTTTTTCTAATATTACCCCTATGTAAACTCATTAATTATGATAATAAATGTAATAGAAATTTGAAAATTTTTCATTTTATAAAAGGGGTAAAATTAGGATTTTATTTTAATTATGTTCAGATAAAGTTAATAACTTAATCACCTCTCCTTGATTCTAGTAAAGTAGTTAGAGGTGCCTTGTAATGGGGTGCTAAAGGAGTACCCCCTTTAATCCTATTTATAAGTTATTTCTAATATATTTACTAGAATTAATGAAAATCTTAAATCTCATTAACTCTATCTTAAAATTTAACAAGTTTTCACCTCTACCGCTTAATAAGGTTAAAATGAATTATTTTAAATAAATTTTCCTAACATTAAATAAGGGCAGAAATGTAAAGATGAATATAAAAAATAATAAAGTATCCTATAAATAAAATTAAAATTAATCTTTACTCTCTTCCCAATAAATATAATAAGAGGAGTAGGTTTTGATATCATCCATATAGGAGCGTTAATAATAAAAACGCTCCAATAATTACGGGTGGGAGTGAGTTACAATGATTTATTATTTTTATAAATGCTCTCATTTGTTGTCGTCATCGAATTTTGGGTCTAGATGCTAAAAATATGCCTGAGTTTAGTAAGCTAAGCCTAGTTAAGCAAGAGTCTCAAAAGTGCCATGAGAAGATAGAATAACTTTCACGAACTAAATCACAAATTAAAAGTTTTTCCGGGTCAAAGTATAAATATTCTTAGTAATTATGGAATAATACCCACAGCCAGATAATATGCCATCTATAGTCCAAAAAAGTTCAAGATAGGTTAAAAGGAATAAATAAAACCTAAAAGATAATGGAGACATCTAAGATTAGTCTTAAAAAATAATGGGTATAATTGTCAGATTCTGTATAGGTAAAACTATTCGACAACTTTATCCTTAAGTGTTGAGTCTTCTAGAGATTATTATTATATCTCAAGGTTGCAATAGACTTTAGTAGAAAGTTATTTAACCATGAAACTACAATTATTTTTTTGGAAGACGTTGACTTAAAATGAGTTCTAAATTTAAAGACCTCCTTAATGTAGAGAGCAGATAATGGGTAAATACCTCTAATTCCTCGTTTGGAGTTGGAACAAATAAATTCCAACTCTGGTATTAAAATAAAAAGCGAAAGGTTAAAAAAATAATATGTGTTCAATCAAGATTCAAGAATGTTGATTTAAGCACAAGCATGATTCGACTAAAATTCATCAGTCTTTTCCTTCCATGTCCCATACTCCATGTGGAGGTCTCTTCCCTTTCCTGATCAACCAAAACATAAATATGGGGATGTATTACTCCAATATATCATAGAAAAATAAATTAAAAATTATATTTAACTTATCAACTAAATAAAATAAAAAACAAAACACACATATTTGGTGGTGGGTCCTTGTCGCTCTTAGGTGGCCAGCGCTCAACGTGATAACAACCATCATTAATACATCCCAATCTCAACGTTTGAAAAATACTCCCTCCTGTGTTAAATGAAAAAAAATTAAATTTCATATTTGTATTTTATTCTCTCATGTAATTAATAAGTTTAAATAAGGGTAATACTAGAAAAATGTAATTAATGTCCTAACAAGTGCCTTATATTATAAGAATCATCAATCTCTTCTAGAATGTGGTATATAATAAGGATTGAAGGGAGTAGTAATTAGATCCTATTTTATTAATCCAGCTAAAAAAAAGTCTTATTTAATGGTCGGATGTATTTGGCCAAGCGAAAAAAAAGGAAAAAATAATTATATAATGATATACAAAGACGTACGCATCGCAAAGATTTTCAAAATAGTAATAGTAGTAATAATAATAATAATTTTGTTCGCATCATGAGTTAACCCACTAAAGACTTCTCAAGTCTAATTTTGTGATATTTTCTAGGATAACTGTTAGAAAAAAAATAGATTATTGAAAAAAACTGATAAATATGATTGATTATGTCATACATATGATACAATTGATTTATAAAATTGATTAATAAGATTGATTTTTGTGATACATTAATAAGCTTTATTTTAAACAGGATTGAAATGTAGTATTGAGTAGTTTTGACAAGCATAATTGAAAATGATTTTGTAAAAATATAAATAAATACTATATATATATATATATATATGGCTGTTTGGATATTTTCTTAAAAAAATTATGATTTTAAATTCATAATTGAGTTTGGCATGAATTGAAGTTTTAACCTTTAAAATTGATTAATTTTTGTATCCAAACATGCGCCTAAAGTCTCTTTTTATATGGCTATATATTACTAGATCATATTCAAACATTATTCGGCCTAATTTGGAATAACTCTTCCAAAAGTTATTTTCTATGTTCACACAAACTCAACTTGAGACTCCATGCTTAAATGGTCATAGTCCCTTTCACTGAAATCAACACCAGTTGGTACATGCAACTAAAGTCTCTACTAACCTGTTTCTTTCATATTTTCAAACAACTACATTTATTATTTGCGAGTTTAAAGACACAACACTGCAGGAAGCTTAGGCGCGTATATTACTAGCATTTTACCATTTTTCATGTCTGTATAGTGTATATGCACTGTGGATTAATTTCTCTTTGGCATTAAAATATATTAATTCATGAAGTGCACTTTAGTCACCCCAAACATATTCTAAGTTCTTAATTTAGATTTCTTTATCAGAATTATAGGATGATCGGACTTCGCATACATGATTTGCTTCGTTTGAACAGATAATTAATTTACACACGAAATAGACTACGTCAATAAATTATAATGTTCCTCCAAATTATTGGTCATCGTGCGTCAAGACAGCAATTATAACTTCAATTGTTAATTGTGAACAATTGCTTTAATATAATTGTCGAATATATGCCGCAGTCAACATTGACAGTTTCTAGTAAAAGTTCAATTTTGCAGTCAAGATTTAAAAGTGATAATTTGTAACAATTCTGGAAACCATTATTGCTTACGAAACCTATATAGTTGATCACGAAATGATAAGAACTGAATAACAAACACCATTTTTTATATTATCATTGATTCGCAGTTCCCCAGAGATATTAGGGGAATAATAAATTAAAGAGGTGAAAGCTAAGTCAAAGACGTCTCAAAAATAATTCTGCAGGTGAACAAATACCTATCTATAGCTAACAAAGGCTGACCTAATGAGTAAGAATTTGATCCATAATCTACAAGGTAATAGAATCAAATTTCGCTATCATTGTGAGGATATTGTTGGTGGCAATATGTAAGGACCTCTATAAGTACTCCTTGAGTTCGACACCAGCTCACTCCAACTTTTTGTTATATAAAAGAAAGAAATACCTATCTATAAAAGCAAGAGTTCTAGGGGCGGATGGGCATCCACACTGAACACTAAGAAAGAAATAAAAAGATGAGTATTGCTCAAAGATGGAGACTCCTAAGTGGACAAGACCATTGGGAGGGTCTGCTAAACCCTCTTAATATCGATTTACGAAGGTACATAATCCACTATGGAGAAAGGACACAAGCCACGTACGATACTTTCATCTCAGGAAAAGCTTCCAAGTATGCAGGAGCAAGCAAGTACTCCAAGAGGAACTTGTTTACAAGGGTGGGTTTGGAGAATGGGAATCCCTTCAAGTACAGCGTGACCAAGTATCTGTATGCAACATCACAAATCGGTCTTCCTGATGCTTTTATAATAAAATCATTGTCAAGTGAAGCTTGGAGCAAGGAATCAAACTGGATAGGGTATGTTGCTGTGGCTACAGATGAGGGCAAATCTGTGTTAGGAAGGAGAGATATTGTGATTGCTTCGAGAGGAACAATAAAAACGTTAGAGTGGATTAACGATCTCCAATTCCTGTTGGTTCCTGCTCCTATAATTTTTGATGGTGCAGGGTTATTCGATCCTAAAGTGCATCAAGGTTGGTACTCTATGTACACTTCAAATAATCCTCAATCTCCATTCAATACAACCAGTGCAAGAGACCAGGTATTTCTTTTCTTTCTTTGTTTTTTTTTTCCTTTTTGGCCTTTGGTAAGAAATTACTGACCATCTAGAAGCTTATTAGATTCTGACTAATTTGACTGAGTCAGGTCGAGTCCCAAATGAGGGTTGTTGTCCTAAAGACTTACAAATCGAGTAAAACCGAAGTCTATAATTTTTAAATTGTGATTTTTTATAGTGTTATTTTTTGTTAGAATGTTTAAGTGTGAGAGTACTTAAGTTGATGTGGTAAGTCCTATATCTTGATCTTGATAATTAATATATAATAAAAGAGAAGGATCCACAAACTTAAACTTTGTGCTTTTGGGTTAAGATGTAGTGTCGTTGTTCTACTGCAAATGAGGTGTCCTTTCACTGTTTTTGACTTTTAATTACTCTGTCAATTGATTCAATTCAAGATTTTTCTTGGAAATACTAATGTTTTATTTGTAGGTCCTAAGTGAGGTAAGAAAGCTAGTCGACTTATACAAACATGAAGAAATCAGCATAACTGTAGTGAGGCACAGTTTAGGAGCTTCACTGACTACCCTAAACGCAGTGGACATAGCTCGAAATGGCCACAACAAGCCAACCGAGGCACCAGACAAAGCATGTCCTGTCACAGCCTTTCTTTATGCGAGCCCTCGAGTTGGTGAATTGAACTTCCACAGGGTTTTCAATGAACTGGAAGATCTGAGAGCCTTACGAGTCAAGAATATTCTTGATATTGTTCCAAACTATCCTCCTTTGCCCTTTCTGGATGTGGGTGAAGAGCTGTTAATTAATACTCAGAATTCACCGTACCTGAAGAGTCCAGGTACAATCAGTACTTGGCATAACTTGGAGAGTTATCTGCATGTAGTTGCAGGAACACAAGGACTCGTTGCAGAGTTTGAATTGGTTGTGAATCGTGATATTGCACTTCCAAACAAGAGCGATGATTGTTTGAAAGATGAAAATCTTGTTCCTGCGTCATGGTGGGTTGAGAAGAACATGGGAATGGTTCAACAAGAAGATGGCTCGTGGAAGCTGATGGACCATGAGGAGGATGATTTCTAATTCGTCAAGGTTATGAATAAAACGTGCTCGTATTTAAAATTGTTGTGGTGCTGTGTGTTTCAATAAAATATCAACCATGCGTGTATTTTTCCTCCCTTCCAATTGTGGAATTTATTTAAGTTGTAAGCCGAAATGATTCGGTATGATGGAATAAACTATCTTCTATATTGCATATGAGTTCATTTAACAAGGCATTGGCGTTGTCCCTTTCCTTTGTGCCGCCCTACATAAATAAGTTCTAAACTTTGACTTCTATATCTATTATTTGGCTGATTGGTACCACACCCTTCTGTATTTAATTAATTGACGGATCCATATCAATTATTAAAAATTGGATTCAGAATGGAACGAATGGAAATTATGATGGGTTTAATGGCAGCTCGCTTTTTAATCATAAAATAGTATTTCTCTTATTTTATTTATAAGCCATTTTCAACATGTTTAACTGAAATTAAGGAAAACTTTGAAATTTATTAACTGTCACACCCTAAAAATAGGAGTGACTGGCACGGGATATGCACCTAAACACACATCCATTAAGCCTAATTCAAGAAATGTTCCATATTAAAAATAATTTTTATTTAAATAAAGCTTTAATATTTTTGTAAAAATTCTGACAAAATTTCCCTTGAGAATAGGATCCACTAAAATTTTACAATACAAAATTTTTAAAGAAATACTATAACATGTAGGAGCACAACTTCTACCAGCCAACAGACAAAATATCTACAAAATAAAGACTCTAACTATAGCCTATATGGAGCACCTATAATATTATTTATAAAATACAATGTATAAATTAAAATTTGACATAAAATAAAAATTAACCAAAAAGGCGTCACAACTTCAATCCAGTGACAATCTCTTGAAGGATCTGAGGAAGGTACAAGTTGCCTGAAACCAAAAATATTTTTCAGTGAATAACGTCTTAACCATAATATTTTTGCAAAATCAAAATGAAGAAACTATAACATTTACATAAATTAAGGAGAAAACAATTCAATGTAACCAAATTTGTGAACAGGAAATAAAAGTTCTATATAACTTCAATATCAAGAAACTTTAAATTTATAATGACAAAGTAGCTTTAACATTTAATTTTGACAAATCAAACATGATTAAATAAATAAAGATAATAACAATTGCAAATTAAAAACCATTAGAGTACGAAATCATCAGTTAATTAAAATCTCATACTTTTGGGGATTCATCAAAACAATTCACAAACATGAACACACAGTCCACAAGGATAAATAACCAAATGTAGCCTGAGTTACGAAATAAACGTGGACACATAGTTCACAAGAGTAATAATGCTAACCAAATGTGGCTCGAAGCCACGAAAACAAAGGCGAGTACGAGATCCACGAATAACAAATGTGAGAACAGAGCTCACGAAAATTAAACTAGCTAGTCATTTACCATGGTGCGCTAAGGGCTAACGGAACTACCGTTAGCAACCAGTGTTCTATATAAAGTCTCCTTCAAATCCATTTTTAAACGTGCGAGAAAATCATCACTTTGAAAATAAAATTTTCATTTTCAATATCAAACTCACATGAATCATTTTTCCATAGCAATTCAATAATTTCTAAAATGTGATCTCATAATTAGAATCCAAGCTTGTATTTACTGATTAACTAAAATAATCAATTCTAGTAAAATAATTTCACAAATTAAAGTAATTTAATCAACAAAATATCTAATAATCACATTGTTGTTGTAAAAGAATTTGCATAAAAATATAATATTTTAATAAAGAAAATTTTATTGAAATATTAGTTGGGACGCTATCCACTTACCGAAAGTGTTCTCAAAGTACAAGATTCTCCTCTTACCACATTAATCAATTTTTTTTTCTTCCCAACTCCCTAAATATAGAGTATATTAGGCTCTTAATATACTTATAACAATGCTAAAAACGTTCTTCCAACATTAACACACACACACACAAAACGATTATAAATTTAAAACTTTAGAATCCATAATGTATTTCTTTGTTGACATAACAAATTTTCCAATTCACTCAAAAGAGTTTTGTAGCATTCAAAGCTATTATCACATTATTTATCAACAATCATATATTTCTTAAGAATTCAAGTAATTTGATACTACTTTCATACTCAACTTACCTTTGGGATTTGCAAATTAAATTCATAGAGCAATAACACTCAATTTAGACATATCCCTCACAAGAATCACTATTTTTTTTGTACAAAAATAAAGCTTCTAATGGCCATTATGTCAAACACCTTACATGCATTAATTTTTCAAGCTCAATCCAAACTTCTTCCTATTTATTCCATCTCCCAAAATTCTCTAATATGGATAAATAAATAATTCAGCTCCCTAAGTTCCATATTCTTCTTTGGATAAATCAATATTAGCTCAAGAAGATTCAGATTCTCATCTCCTCACATTTCACACGGCAGCAAGCTGAAAAAAGAAACAAACCACAAGCTACACTAATTAAACACACGCACGCGCGCAAACACAGTAGTGAAGGCAAATTTCACAACATATTCACACGCACAGAGTTAACTGAAAGAAGAGTTGGAAGTTCCAACCATGAATATGCAGCATCGATAAAAATGGAGGGGAAGGAGAAATCAACGAAAAGCAGAGTAAGAAGAAACTATGCTGCAAGAGCAGTACCTACGGTGATGTACGGACCGAGAAAGAGTAAGGAGGAAGTTCCAAACCACCCACAGCCTCCACAGCAGTGATCGATGGCAACACTAACCAGAGAAAACAGAACCGAGACGAGGAAGAAGAATGCACAGAAGGGAGATCCCGACCAGTACAGCTCTCTAACGACAGCAACACAAAACCACGCTGGCGACGGTAGCTGGGATAAGCGCCGAAAAATGGAGGGAGAGAAGGCAGTTCTTCCTGGCTCTTGAATGTTCGAAATTTCAGAAGGAAGAGAAGAAAGAAATGGGCGGTGGTGCATGCGTGTGCTCTGAAATTCCTCACCTTCTCTTATTTATTCATTCCTTTTTATTGCAGAAGGACATAAATGGAAATTTGAGATTGAAACAAAATAAAAAAATATTTCACTTTTAATTTCTGTAAAGTTTGATCTGAGGACCACCTAAATGAGTGTCTGCCTAATCTAATCCCCACTGCACTGACCCTTCTTCTTGTTGAATATGTGCATGAAACAAATACAAATACTGTTAAAAGGTACTATTACATATTTTAATTTTACTTTAAAAAAAATTTATGAGTCATTACAAGAACCTAATAAATGATTTGCTGCCACATATATCACTAGGCTAAATTTTTTTTTAACATCTTCTACAAAAATTTTTTTAAATAAATACATAAAAATGTTATAATTAATATTAATATATATATATATATATATATTCAAGGCTATTACATTAACTTTGTCTAAATATTGAATAAGTTTGTAATTTTTCCTATATTGTGTACTTTCTCTCACCAATATTTAAGGGAGGGTAAAGAATTTATGATAAACTTTAATAATGTGACCCTTATAAATAAGATTGAAAGGAGTGTATGATGAGATGGGATACCGCATTAATCAGATTTATTTTGTTTTGTTTTAAAGATTTTAAGATTTTTGTTTTATAAGGAAAAATTTATATACTTACCCTTGTTAAAAATATGTCTTAGGATTTGAACTTTAATTTGAAGCATAGTGGCGGGCGAATTGTATTTTCTTTGCCGCCAAAAATGCCCAAGTAAATATGTCGCATTCCTTCTTCACTTGCGTAGTTCCCTGTAAAAATTAAGCCATTCTCTCCCTCAACCAATTTATTTATGATCTTTTCAATATTGAAATTTTTATTTTTATTATATATATATATATATCTAAATTTATATTTGTCAATGATTTTATTAAAAAGCATATTAAGTCAAAATCACATAGCACATAAATATAAATTACATTACAGCAAACACAATTCTTCATGTAATCAAGTTTGGACAAACAATTTAACCCTAACTTAGCTACACAAGCTGAAATCCAACAATGTAATATCAACTATCTTAGACACCCAAACTTGAAACAACTAGGAGACAGTACAACAATGACCCTACTGTCTTAGACACACACAGAATTAAACCTCATTAATGGAAACATCAACTTCAGGTTCAGGATCTGGCATGATCCAAGAACCGTCACGTTGTTGAACCAAGCCTTTGTTTGCATCCACCCTCCAAGCCTCAGGAATCTGATAGTCTTCCTTCAAAGCACCCATGCCTTTGTTCACAAGTGCTATGTCCCTTTTAACCTCTAAGTTAAATCCTCCTTTGCTCCCTTGTGTTCCTGCAACTCCATGCAAATAAACCTCCAGATTATGCCAACTCTTCACATCCCCTGGTTGTTTTAAGAAGCTTGATTTTTGAGTATCAATCTCTAACTCTTCTCCAACATCTGCATAACCCAAGAATGGATGCCTTGGAACAATATCATTTTTATTAGTAATACGTAAGATGCGAAGATCTTTTTGACTAGAGAAGAACTTTCGAAAATCTGGATCTCCAACTCTAGGGCTTGCAAATACAAATGCTGTGACCGGACAAGCTTTATCAGATTCGTCTTTTCGAATGTTAATGCCATTAGCGACTATGTCAACTGCATTTAATGTTGCAATTGCTGCACCTAAGCTGTGGCCGCTTACTGTTATGCTGACTTCTTCACCTTTAAATTTATCCACAAGCCTTCGAATTTCAGTCAAAACCTGCACAATGAAATTACAAAAATGAATCTCAAGTTGAACACTGTGTTGCATGCTTTAATTAAAATGGAGTTACAAATTCAGTCCTTGGAATTAATACAAGATACTCCCTCTAGTTCTATTTATAAATCACTTTCAGTATATTTTACTGGAACCAAAGAAAATTTTAAACTTCATTAATTTTGTCTAAAAATTTAAAAAGTTTTTACCATTACCACTAATAAATATTCTTAAATCTCGTTGTTGATATTTTTATTCAAAACATTTAATAAGGGCAAAAATATAAAGAGGAGCATTGAAAATTGATAAGTAAACCTATAAATAAGACCAAATTTTTTCTTCTCTTTTTGCCTTATAAATATGACTAGAGGAGAAGATCACTATTTTGTTTAGTGATGTTTGCCATTATGGTTGTGGAAAAAAAACAAATTACTTAATCCATGCAAATTATCATCTTTTTGTATTTCTTTTTCTCTCCCTCTTGCATAAATACAAGCAAACACATTACCTAGATTTGAATCTTCTTCATACTCTCTCTCAATATCTCTCTTAGTGCCTAATCTCATCGGTTCATTTAGTTATTCATTTGGTTTGACAGTATACAATTTCTAATTGTGACATTAAACCAAATATATTATTCATTTAATCACTACCAAATAAAGAAGTATTATAATCTTGTTTTCAAATTATTTATGTGATGATAATAAATATTTGGCCATTAAATCAAATAGGAAATTAAATCAATGGATAAGATTGGATATGGAGAGACGGATTGAGAAAGAGTAAGAAGAGAATCCAAATCCCACATCACCTGAGTTCTTGCGCTAGTTTTGTTGAAGATTGACTTTGAGTGGGTCGCTGTGTAGATAGAGTAAAAGCCTCTGTGTACTTTAATATCAGATTTATTAGGACCAAAAACGATTGGAGCATCATCCAATATGAACTCAAAATCTTTAGCCCATTCCACCATCTGCTGAGTTCCTCTCCAAGCAATTGCAATGTCTCTCCTCCCTAAAATGGCTTTGCCTTCATCGGTGGCCACAGCTACGTACCCTATCCAGTTTGATTCTTCAACATCCTCTAATATAAGAAAATCCTTTTCTGAGGTTGCATACAGGAATTTTGTCACCTCGTACTTGAAAGGATTTCCTTTTTCCAAACCAACCTTGGAAAAGAATTCTCTTTTCCCATAACGGCTCCTTCCAACGTACTTGGATTGTTCATCGTCGTTAAAAGCATCATATGTGGCTTGAGCCATTTCTCCATAGTGTATTATGTACCTACGAAGATCAATATCAAGTGGGTCTAGCAAATCCTTCCAATTATGTTCGCCACTAAGTTCTCTCCAGTTTGTTGCAATGCTTCCGGGCTTGGCCACCTTCGTTTTATCTTCTTCAAGATGATCACCCACCGCATTAGAATCCGTGGTTTTGCTTTCACTGCCACCCATTTCGTTCTTCTTCTTCTTCTTCTTCTTTATGAATTTTGCTTTCTCTTTGCATGCCTATTTATTCTTGGAGATTATGACCTCTTCTCTGCCACTTGCATGCGCTGTATTTCTGAATTTGTTGACGCTTTAATTTGAAAAGTATTTGGCAATGTTGATTCAGTCTTTTATAGAAAATGCATGTAAAAGATAAGTGTTAGAACGTCAGGTTTTAAAATTCAAATTTCTTGTTCCGTACGACGTTGATTAAGCAATTAGAATGTTAGCTTTTTTAAAATTATCGTTTCCCATCAATATTTGCAAGCCTACGGGTTGATTTCGTTTTGGAAATGAATGCTTGTTGTTTATGGAACAATTTAATGACCATAATTGACATTTTCGTATTTTAAAGGCTAAATTATTCTGACCTTTGAACTAGTTCATTCGATATGGATAACAGAAAACACGTGTACAGGATATAAAAATGTATTGTCCTCTATTATACATTGGCTGCTAAAAGATTAAGCAGACATTTTAAATTGTGTTTGCAAATCCTCTTAAACAAATGATATGAACTCGTCAATCTTCACTAATACTGAAAGCGTGAATATATAATATTGGAAAACATACGTGTCCAAGAAATCAAAATATACATTTCACAATGTTATAAGTTGCTTGGGGAAGAAGAAAATTTAAACTATGCTCGAAAATAGAGATAAGGCAAATATTTCACTTCTTCGAAATGTTCGATTTGTGTTGAGGAGTCATGTTGTTGCTTTACTGAAGATAATTTTGTTTTACTATTGAAATGAAAATCAATTATAATGAAGTTACCTATCACCACCAAAATTTTATGATAAAATCTTGGGAAGTATTTTGAAAAGAAAATGAAAAGGATGATATATGAGAACAAAGATATGTTCAAGAGTTAATTTGTACGAAACTAATGGGGCCAAAAAATTCATTTTGATTACACCATTCAATTAGATGCAACAAAAATTTTTAAATAAAAGGAAAATAAATAAAAACAGATTTATGAAAAGAAAATAATATTACTTATTTACTTGGACAACCGACTTAACAACCAAAAATAAAATGTAGGTTCAACGTACACTATGATAGATATAAAATAGGTAATTGCTTCTTGTTTTTTTTTTTGGTGGAAATAGGGAGTTAGTAAAAGTAGGTTGTCCTTTTTTATGCAAGCAAAATAATAGTCTGAAATTGACGGGTGTTCAATTATTCAGACAAAAAAAAAAACCAGTTTATTCATTATAAATAACAGAAGAAACGTGTAAAAGATACCATTTTAAATTGTTTCATCATGATAACATTTTAAAACAATATGGATGGAATATGAAGTCGTGAATCTTTTACTTTCAAATATTGGGGAAAAAAACTATTTTATTCAGCGTGTACATATATAATATTGAGGAACATGCGTGTCCGAGATGTCAAAAACATATTTTACTCTATGTTATACGTTGACTGGGAAAGAAGAAATTTTAAACTATGATTGAAAATCGAAAGGTGGGGGACATTACACATCTTCAAAATTTACCAGTTCGTGAGATTTGTTTTGAGTATTCCTTGTTTTGCTTTGACTTAGTATTTTCTCAAAAGGCAAAATTATGCTGAATGATCAAATTAACAAATTATAATTATAATTGAGTAAAAGGCATGTAAATAGGGGGATACGTGTTGAAGGATCATAAAGCGTATAACAGTAAATAGAAATTTAGAAATTTAAATAGTTAGCTTACCAAGAATATTATTAATATATTCGTTGAAATGAAAAAAATTATAAGCGTATAAAAACAAATAAAATTATTGTGGAGATAAAACAAATAAAAGATACGGATACTAAAGAGTTTTATAACTATTACACCAATAATTAAAGATCTTTTAATTGCAAATAATGATTATGATCCTTTCAAGATATTTTAATAATTTGAGGTCTTCAGTTGTTATGAATCCCTCCATTCACATGGTCCGTAATTGTCATTTTTTCACCATCAATTCTCATTAGTTTGGCCTTTCTATTGATTGATTACTGTTATCTAACTCCGGCTTTAGCACATGTAAATTTAACTGTGACACCATCACATTCACGTGACGTTCTAGAGCTAAACACTCACCAAACTTAAATAGCTCAAAATTCAAAGTAAAAGCGTTCGGTACAAACAATGATCTTAGCCACGAGGTTTATTTTATTAGGCAATTTGTATTTGGAATTTTTCAAAACAGCTCAATGTATTGGCCGCCATGGATATATTAAATATGGCTTGAAAAATTAAACAATTAGTACGTGCGTGCGTATATTCCAAACAAAATTGAAGTCAACTTTATCATTTTACATACTGATTGGGAGCAAGATTATTTACATTATGATTGCAAAAATCCTAAATCATAAGGAAGATCAGAAGAAAAGTTGATACTCCAAGAAACACCAATTAACCAAAAGTTCTTAAATTTTGAACTTTGCAAAACTAATAAAATAGTAAGCTTGACACGTAACAAAAATCGAAGGTGAAATAAAACAAAAGATTCAAGACATACAAAATTATCCTAGTTTAGGGCTACTCAGTTGGCCTATTCATTCCATTCCCTAGAATGCTTTTTGAGATTTCCACTTTATTTGACATGATTTAAATACATTCTTGACAACCAAATACAATCTCAAACTATCACGAGTCTGCGACATTCTCTTCCCCTTGCAAGGATATGTGTTTATTCCCACTCAAGATTATATAATAAATAGAAACAAATGATCATAAAGTAACTAGAAATATGAAACCTCACTTTATGAGTAACTAATAATGCCTTCAGTCTTATTAATAAATTACTTTTAACATATTTTACCAGAGTTAATGAAAATTCTATTAGAAAAAATTTTAAATGTTAATATTAATTCTTCCTCTTCAGAATATTCTTCTGAAGAAGATTGTCAAAGTAAAGAAATTTGTAATTGTTCAGAAAAATTACAAATAAATACCTTAGATAAAGAAAATTTAAAATTTTTAATCGAAATAATAGAAAAAATTCAGGATGAAAACATAAAAAACCAATATTTACTAAAAATAAAAGATATTATTGATAGGGAAGATAAGAATAATTTAGATTATACATTTGAACCTATTAGTATAAATAAAATAATAAAAAGATTTGATAACTTTTATAATAAAACCGTAGGAATAAAAGAATTACAGGAAGAAATTAGAAATATTAAGCAAGAAATTAGAGAATTAAAAAATAATGAGATATAGAGAGATATTGAAATATTACAAATAAAAGCTTTAATTGAAAATCCTGAAATAGAGAAAAATAGTGAAGATATTAATGAAATTTCAACAGAAATTAATCAAGATAGATATATTAATATAATATCTCAAATAACTTATAGAAAATGGTATTGCCAAGTTAATTTGGTAATAAATCAAGAATTTACTAAAACCATTGTAGTTTTAGTAGATTCTAGTGTGGATATGAATTATATTCAAGAAGGATTAATTCCTACTAAATATTATGAAAAAACTTTTGAAAAAATTGGAACAGAAAATAATTCTCGTCTTGATATAAAATATAAATTAACCAATGCTCATATTTGTAACCAAGGAATATGTTTTAAAAACATATTCATGTTAGTTAAAACCTGGCTCTAATACTAAAAGGGCGATGGGGCCGAAACAGATCGATACAACAAATAAGATTTCAATCATAAAATAAAACAAAGTATTACAAAATAAAAATTCACAATATTATTGAACAGAAGGGTACAACAAGTATGCTTACAATGAAATGAAGGAAGGAGACTAGGAGTAGGAAGACTATGAGGTTTAGAAGATAAGGAAGAAGAGAAATGAAAGCACACAAAAGAACCTGATGCTCCTAAACTGATATAGGAGCGAGATTTATAGAGATATTTCGTCCTTCAATTTATCTAAACCTCAGGTTATTTACAATGGTTGGGTTCGGTTACTAAACCTTACCCGTGAATTATTTACTTTGTCAAACCATAATTGCTTCAACTTCTTTCTTTCTTTTTCTTGTTCCCATTTTTTCTTTTTGGCTTCATGCTCCCAATTTCTTTGGTCTTGTTTCCACTTTTGCTTTCTCGTGAGGGCCTATCTGATTAACTTACTCATACTCCTTTTTTGCTTTCTTCTTTCAGCAGGATATGATATTGATTGCTATTTCTTTTGTGAACCACCATTTGAAAGTCTTCAAAATTGACTTCATAAATGTCTTGTTCTATATTTGTCTCTTCCCCAGTTTCTATCTGTTGAGTGGATGACCTTACATCTTCTGACGCTACTTAAGAGGCTACTTCATTGATTAAGGAGGCCTATTCTTCTCTCACTTTTGCTGCTGCCAATTGTGTCATCAATTTATTCTTTTCTGCTTGAAAGGATGTTGATTCTTTAGCCTTTTACTTTACTTCTTGCGTAACTTTTTTCAATAATCCTTGGATTTTTCTTATGACTGCTTCTTTCCTCGCAAAATTTTGAATATATTTATCCCACCATTTTACCTTAAATGTTCTAACAAGGTAAAATATGGAAGGACAAGGCTGTCTTTGATCCATTATAGAAAAGCACCAACTCATGATCCATGGCACTCTCATATAATAGACAAACCAGAAGGACAATGTCTTTGGGCACGACTCATACTAGTTTTGAAGAGATATACAAATATGGAAGGACAAGGCTGTCTTTGAACCTGACATGTGTTTAATCTTAGGGAGTTGCCGCACGATCAACCCGATATGACGGAATAGCTCTTAAGGACAATGTCTTTGGGCACGACTCATACTATAATTTTACTCGTTGGTGCCAACAATTGTAAGAGCTACTGCATGTAAGTTAATCTTGTTTGGCTATACTAAACTTGATGGTTTTGGACCCGGTGGAAGCATGTGACGAGGCAGCGAGATTCAATGATGTTGATGAACAAAATTGAGTGTTGGGGCACATGTGAGTAAGCATTGGTTGAAATGGGTAATGATGGAAGCGAACACCAATAATCCCAAATTTGCCCCAAAATTCGGACTCATTTAAGACCTCAAAGGCACCACATTTTGAGTAGAAAGTCCCAGCATATGAAGACTGATAGATATTACAATCA